CATGGCGTGTTCGAATAAAGCTGTATGCGAAACGTTTACACAAGTTTTAATAAGGGTTTCATCCTTAAAGTGAAGCCATTCTGCCAGGAGTCCGGATTTCACTCGCATAATACAAGACTGTTGAGCCAGCTCTTTTTTGCAATTATCTCTATCATTAGCGCGATGCACTCATTTGCAAACAAACTTGGTTTTCCGAGGCTCCCACCTGGAACAGACCTGAATCTCTGATGAACGATGTTTCTACAAATGAGGTGGTTTGGGACAGTACATCATAAGTGAGCGATTCAGCCAGGTGAGTCTCTTGCGTGACTTGGGAGTTCCTTCAATGATATTGGTTGGAAACCAGTATAAATGGGAGTGATCGTTACTGGCGAGTAAGAAATTAAGCACTCAGGGAGGAGAGTTCCTTCGACAATTCAGTTGATTTGAACAAAAACATCTATGAACTTGGGGATTAGGGTATGCTCTTTGCCAGCTTCTTTGAATAACTAAATTCTTTCATGAAAAAAATGAATCAATCAGGTTAAATAAATTGAGTCATCTCAACTTGACATACGAACCAAAATAATACCTCGGGCTACAACCTATCCCTTTCTTTATGTTTTCAGTCCACTACTTTAGCTACTATCGGAAATCGAGTCATCTGGGCCCATGGGGGCGCGTTTAAGTATTTCTACGCTCTATAGTGACAGCGATTGCGATCCCCACTATTTGCGAAACCAAAGAAATATGCCCCCACAGGCCGCACCGATAACGGTTATGGGAAAGACCGTCACGAAGAGACTGAACCTCACCGTGGTGTGACGGTTTACACGCCTCAGCGACCCACTGAGCTATGCGTGGGGGTATCCTCGTGGCACTCACAGTCTCTCAAACCAGGTTCGTTAATAGTTAGAGGTCTGACGAACACAGTCTCCTGGCGCCCCAGGTTTGGGGCTGGAACATGTATGGCAACGTATTCCGTAAAAATGGTAATGTACTCGCACATCCAGCCCAACACCGCTGCCTTACGGTTAGGCTTTTGAGCCAAAGGCTTTGGTTGAGGACTCCAATCGTCCTCCTGTCTAGGTGTGGGCGCCCTGGCAGTATC